AAGTTCCTATGGGCTAGGCTTGGCAGTAGCGTATGTCATCTGTACTCACAGTCCCTTGGCTAAAACTCATTCACATGTCCATGTCTACCCTAAACAGGGCTGGGAAATGTAGTCCCTCACTAGTTGCCTCTTCCCAGGGACAATTCTACACACCAGAAAGCAGAGTACACATTTCTGATGAGCAGTTAGCCATCTCAGCCATATCGTGCATGCATGTCACACGTAGAAAGGCAGAGGGCAGATATTGTTAAATTAAACAGAATTCCAGAAATCTTTTCAAAAAGACAAGCAGAGCAGGGGCTATGAATTCACACTTCATACAACAGGAAATGCAAATGCTCATTAAGCAAATGAAAAATCCTAAAGCTTGTCATTATTAAGCACATTAAAATAAAAGCAATAGGAAGATATCACTTTTTATTTATCAGACTGGTAAAGATGAAAGTTTGGTAAGAGTTGCCTTCAGATAATGTTGGTGGGAGTATACATTAGTGCAACACTTTTGGAGAACTATTTGATAACATCAACAATAATTTAAATACATATAACTTTTGTTTAACCCAACAATTCCCCACTAATAAATGTGTCCTATACTGGTTAACGTGCGCCAAGAGATATGAATAAGGACGCTCATAGAGGCATTGTATACATTAGTAAAAAAGTAAAGTGAACAGACAAAAACTAGGAACAAGTTGTGTGTCTACCAGTAAGAAATGTGTGGATTAAGTGACATATGATATGTCTACATAATGGATGCAGTGTACTCTATTAAGAGAATAATTCAGATCCATCTGTCCTAATAGAAAGATCTCCAAAATATCCAGAAGATGCTCCCTTAATCCATCTTCACTTAACAGATTTATCACATGGTGTGATGCTTAGTCCATCCATAAAATACACCACATGATGAGCATGGCCCACTCTCTGGAGTTCCAGGACCCTTCTCCTACAAGCTGTGTGGGGGGCTTAGCAGGAGGCAATTGTGTTTGTCACAGGGTCTGATTACGCAAGTCGCACTTGTTACTTTTTATTCATAACTAAACTATGGAAGAACTAATTGAGTATCGGTACAAAGTAAGAGTCTGAAAACCAAGGTGAATGCTTTGGAAATACTCAATATAAGTGAGTTTTTACCAAAAACCAAAATGATGTCCAAATAGATGTGAGGTGATTGTGAAAGATGGCAGGTGGGAGTGATCTGGGAGGTTTCTACTCTCAGATATCTTGCAAAGTATCTTTTAATTCTCACTCCAAGTTTGGGCAAGAAATGTAAACCGCAAATTGTAGATCATACATTACAGGTAGGGTTTTGACTGAAAGTAATATAGGACTCCAATTAATTGATGCACCCTCAAAAAAGAGGAGCCTTAGTTCCTCCACATTAAAAGTTCATCCACCGATATCTGTGAGATTAAAGATTCAGTGATGCAGTAATATAGTCATTACAATTATTTGTTTGAAAGAATTTTTACCTTTTAGAGATGCAGGCTGAAATATTAGAGAATGAGTAAAATTACATCTGAAACTGACTTCAAAGTGGTAACGGAGGCCAGGTGCTGTGGCTCATTCCTGTAATCCAGGCACTTTGGGAGGCCAAGGTGTGTGGATCACTTGAGGTCAGGAGTTCAAGACTGGCCTGACCTACATGATGTAAACCCCCCCTCTACTAAAAAAAAAAAAAAATACAAAATTAGCCAGGTGTGATGATGCACACCTGTAATCCCACCTCAGGAGGCTGAGGCAGGAGAATCGCTTGAACCTGGGAGGTAAAGGTTGCAGTGAGCCGAGATCGCACCATTGCACTCCAGCCTGGGTAACAAGAGCAGAGCTCCACCTCAAAAAAAAAAAAAAGAAAGAAAAGAAAAACCAAAGTGATAACAGGTCAAAGGGCAGATACAGATGAAACAAGCTTGGCTGTGATTTGGTAATATTTGAAACTCAATGACACACCCATGGGAGTTTATTATACTATTCCACTTAACTTTTGTATATGTTTAAGATTTTCCATAATAAAAAGTAGGAAAAAAGTCAGATTAATTTGTATTTATAATTATAAATTAGAATAAAATGTTTAAAATATGAATATATAATTTTTATAACTATTCTCTTAACCTCCTCTTTAAAATTAACCAGCAGTGACAGCATCAGATAAAAGGGCTTTGGCTAAATCATTGTGTTTTTCTTTTTTAAAAAAAGGATATAGATACAGTATGATTATATTATAGTTAAATATGCTGGTAGATGTATCTGCAGTGATTTCAGTTTTGCCCCAACACAAGAAACATCACAGTACTTTTCTAAAATCAAATTTAATCTACTCTGTGTCCCCATCCCACCAGTGATAAAAGTGTTCATCTCAAGTATTCCAGGGTTTCTTCTCACCCCATCTAGTGGACATTATCATTGCTCTCTTCCTCTTCCTCCTCCTCCTCTTCCTAGTTAAGATAGTAAGAAAACAACAAAACTCTGCCATAGAAACAGACCCCATTCTTTCATCCTGGTGCTAGAAGTCACCACCGCCCTTCCACAACTCAAGCTCCCAAACAACTGCCTCCCTGCCCCCTTCTCTGTCCTCAGCCTTCACACGGGGCCCACCCAGGGGTTTAACTGGGCTCCGTGAGACTGACAAAGGCAGATCAGGGCATTCTGTCCAGGCACTGCACAAGAGGCCAGCCCTTAATCTCCCTGTACAAGAGGCCAGCCCTGCCCTGCCACAGAGAGAAGCAGAGGACAGCCCAGAGGACAGCCCACCCTCTTCTGAAAAAAGATGCAGCAACTAAATTTGCCCTTACATTCATCCTAGCTGGATGGTACATTTTCTCCAACACACTGCTGGTATGGTGTGGCTTTCTGTCACCACCCAAATCTCATGTCACACTGTAATCCCTGCATTTTGGAGGAGGGATCTGGTAGGAGGTGACTGGATCATGGGGTTGGATTTCTGCCTTGCTGTTCTCATGATAGTGAGTGAGTTCTTACAAGATCTGCTTGTTTGAAAGTGTGTAACATCTCTCTCTCTCTCTCTCTCCTGCTGCCATGTGAAGACGTGCTTGCCGCCCCTTTGCCCTTCTGCCATGATTTTGAGTTTCCTGAGGCCTCCCCAGCCATGCTTCCTGTACAGCCTGTAGAACTGAGAGTCAACTAAACCTCTTTTCTTTATAAGTTACTCAGTCTCAGATAGTTCTTTATAGCAGTGTGAGAATGGACTAATACACCTGCCTCATCCCTAGTTTGCCCTTCTCCAGAAAAGGTGGCTGATTCAGAAAGGTCTTGTCACTTTGAAGTAAGTGAAACTCTTCCATTTCTGGAGTCTTGAAGCCCCTCCCTTCCAAAAGCTTGTCTGTCCCTAAGCATCTCTCCTAATGACTTTTTTTTTAGTCAAATTTTATTTATTTATTTATTTTTTTTAATCATTGATAGTTTAGAGACGTTCCTTTCAGCTTCACAATTTATTATCGGTAATATCACACACATCTCAGAATGTCAGAAGCATCTGAACCAGAGTGACTCCACCTTGAATAAGGGCTGGGTAAAGTGAGGCTGAGACCTGCTGGGTTGCAATCCCCAGAGATTAGACATTCTAAGTCACAAGATGACATCGGAGGTCAGCACAAGATAGGTCATAAACACCCTGCTGACAAAACAGGATGCAATAAAGAAGTCATCCCAAACCTACCAGATCCAACATGATGATGAAAGTGACCTCTGGTTGTCCCTGTTTTACGATAATTTTAATGCATTAGCATACCAAAAGACACTCCCACCAGTGCTGTAACAGTTTACAAATGCCTTGGCAATGTCAGAGAGTTAGCCTATATGGTCTAAAAAAAGGACCTTGAATTGCCTGCCCCTTTCCTGGAAAATTCATGAATCATCCACTCCTTGTTTAGCATATGATCAAGAAATAACCATAAAAATAGCCACCCAGCAGCCCTCGGGGCTGCTCTGCCTATAAAGTAGGTACTCTTCTGTTTCTTTACTTTTTTAATAAATTTGCTTTCATTTTACTCTGTGAACTCACCCCAAGTTCTTTCTTGTGTGGTATCGAAGAACCTGCCTTGGAGTCTGGATCGAAACTCCTTTCCAGTAACAAGAATTGTTAGCAAATCGGGGAAAACTTCCATTCAGATTCTTTCATATATCAGAAGAAAAATGTCAGGACATTCCAATTTTTCTTAAGTGTACCATTCAGTGGTTTTTATTATATTCCCTAATTACCTTTGAAATGCATTTCTTTGAGGCTTTGGGCTATCATTTCTAACACTCATCAATTAAATTGCTGATTCCCTGAGAGAAGAAGATGCGAGGCCATCATCTTTTTTGGAAGTAGACATTGGTTTGGGGAGTGGGGATGGAAAGGGAACTCACATGCACTGAATGTCTGCTGTGTGCCATGCTAAGGAGACCCTTCTATCACGTTTCAATTAACTACAGACCACGGCACTCTCCTCCTCTAAATCATTCAAAGACCAGGCTGACAGAGACCTTATCTGCTTTAACCCTGGGTGTTATGGAGGTGAGTTGGTGGGAGGTTCCCATGGGCAGGTTACAGTGCTGGGCGGTAGTTCTTGCTTATCCACCTGGCTTGGAGTATGAGAGGAAGCTCCTCAGTTGCATGTGGTGTGACTATATAGGTCAGGTGTTCCCTTTCATGGGAGGCTCTCTGGGGACACCAGCTTGTGTTGTGGCTGCAGGCCCCAGGACCACAGACAGCCCACAATTCAGACAGCAGGAGCCTTACTGGCCTCTACTAGGCTGAGCACTAGCTTTGCTCTACACAGCTGAGGTTCCTGGACCCACCCATATATTTTTTAAAATTCTATTTAGAAAGTTTTCAGGCCAGGTGCAGTGGCTCATGCCTGTAATCACAGCACTTCGGGAGGCCAAGGTGAGTGGATCACTTGAGGTCAGGAGTTCAAAACCAGCCTGGTCAACATGGTAAAACCTCATCTCTACTAAAAATAAAAATAAAAAAATTAGCCATGAGTGGTGGCAGTTACCTGTAATCCCAACTACTTGGGAGGCTGAGGCAGGAGAATCGCTTGAACTCTGGAGGCGAAGGTTGCAATAAGCTGAGATTGCACCACTGCACTCCAGCCTGGGTGTCAGAGTGAGACTCCGTCTAAAGAAAGAAAAGGAAAAGAAAAGAAAAAAGAAAGTTCCCCTGATTTGCTTTGTTTAAAGCAGTACCCAGGACCATATACCTTAGTAATGATAAAGAACCAAACATATTACAATGAATCCAGGAAGCGGAGGCTGCAGTGAGCCTAGATCACACCACTGCACTCCAACCCTGGCAACAGAGGCTGATACAAGGAAAGAGGCTTATTTGCAGCACTTGGCTAAAAGTAGGTCCTCAATAAATCATAGCCATTACTTTTACTGCTGTCATTCCCCTTTTTCCACTCATTTTTCTTCCCCTCGTCTCATGAAAGTCCTTTGAACTGCAAAAATGAACTGGCCCCTCCCTGCCTCCCCGCTATTCATTTGGGCTGCAAATTAGCAGATGTTCCTGGAGATCAAGGGTGGGGACAGGGACTTTGAGCTTGGACACCAGCAGGAGAGGCATCCTGCAGACCTCCACCGCCTAGGGCCACCACCTGGTGCCTTGGAAAGAACCATGCTTTTAAAGTGCACAGAGGTGGCCTGGCCTGGTTCCCTGGTTCTCCTATTTATTGTCTATAAATACTAGCTTAGCCAAGTCACTTCCCCTTGCTGGGTTCAGTTTCTCCTTCCCGGAAAAGAAGAAGACTGGACTAGATAGGATTTACTTTTCAGCCTTTTCATTCAGCAGGTATTTTATGAGGTCTTGTTGTGTGCACGGCCCGGTCTAGGCAGTAGGTGGGGTAGAGCTGTGAGTGAGGCACACCAAGTCTTATCAGCTTTCTGATTAGCAGAATGTTCTAGCAGCCTAAGGTTCTTGGATTCTGAGGGTCCTTGGTGCAATTCTCCAGCTTGAGCCATCACTCCTTGTTCCTGCTTGGCAACACTTCCAGCTTCTGAGCCAAAGATGCCGAGACCAGCCTTGGGTACGCCACCCTGCCCTTTGCAAAGAAACTCAAAGGACATTCACAGCTCACCAGGGTTGGTTGGGGGAAATGTGACCAAACCCCAGTCACTCACCGCCTGCCTCCCTGGCTGCCCGACAGTGGGGATGCTACAGGGGCTGAGCACAATGTAGTGAATTCTTACAATTTATGCTGCCTCGGGATCCGTTTTGCTTTTTATTGTTGTTGTTTGTTTGGGTTGTTTTTCAGATGGATTCTTGCTCTGTCACCCAGGCTGGAGTACAGTGGTGTGATCTCAGCTCACTGCAATATCCGCTTCCTGGGTTCAAGCAATTCTCCTGCCTCAGCCTCCAGAGTAGCTGAGATTATAGGTGCCCATCACCACACCCAGCTAATTTTTATATTTTTAGTAAAGATGGGGTTTCGCCATGGTGCCCAGGCTGGTCTCAAACTCCTGACCTCAAGTGATCTACCCTCAGCATCCGTTTTAAGTGTAAGATTACCTTTCTCACACCAGAAGCAGGGCTCAGTCATCCTTGACATAGTCTCTCCTGCTACACCTCCCCCCTTTCTTCAGTGCCACACACAGCGGCTCCCTGGTACCCATGTCCCCACTGGACAGCTAGAGACAACCTATTCTGCCTGCTAACTCTCACGCCCCACAGACTGCAGATATGCTGCAGTGTGACCTCCTGGAACACATGCCTGCTTTCTCTTTTGCATTTAAACCCACCAATTAAAATTCCTTATGGGAAATGTGTATGGATAACACCCTGGGCCTCAAGAAAGGCCGTGACCCATAGGTGGCCCCCACTTCCTCTTTTTCACGCATCCCCTGATCATTCCCTCTGCGTGTATGTGGTGAGGCGGGGGGTGGGGGGGCTCTAGGCATGCCGTAAACTCCCCAACACCAGTAAGTAATAAAACCTTTATTTCCATCTTGTGTCTCTCCTAATCATTGAAGAGGCACCCTGTATCCTAAAGACCTGAAATTAAAGCACATGGGAAGCAGTGGCTCTGAGCTTGCGGAGCCAGGTTCCTGACTCTCAAACCCCTGCCATAGCCAAGAGGTTGCTCAGGGGCTGCCAGGGGTGGGTGCAGGTTCCCACAAAGTCACCTAGGAGAAGGGCATGAAGAGAGCTAGAAAGGAGTGTACTCCAGGATGGCCAGCTTCAAGGGCATGAGGTCTTGAGTCACTCAAGCAAGGACAGCCCTGTGGGGACAGACAGATGGCAGAGTGGGTCCTGAAAAACTGTTCTTATATCCACTCTAATGGCCTGGCTAGCTTGTGACCAACCCAAATTTTGCAGGCATGAGCCAAGAAGAATGGAACCAATGAATAAAAGCTGTGGCAGCTGGGCCTCAGAGCACAAAAATCCAGCTCATGCCAAATTCACATCCACTGTCCATTGAGAAGGACCATAGCATTGCAGTCAGGATCATAAGCTCTGTGGCCACTTGCCTGGGTTCAGATCCTGGCTTTCCCACCTGCTTGCTGTGTGATTCTGGACAAGCTAGTTAACCTCTCTGTGCCTCAGTTTTCCCATCTACAAAATAGAGATAATAATACTCCCACCTAATAGGGTTGTGGGGAGAATTAAATTGCCTTTGTATTGTATTAGAACAGTGAACCGCCACCATGTAAGTGGTGTTGCTACTTCTTTGTGACAATCATCCCTTATTTTATATAGCACATAAAGCTTACGAATTCCCTCCAAATTCATTGTTTGAAACACAAACTTGTTGACTTTGCTCATTCATCCACTAGATTGTAGGTGTTATGTGGGTAGGAAATTTTTAGTTGTTTTATTCACTACTGTGTTCTTGAAGCCCATGACAGTACCTGGCACAGAGTAGTTGCTCAATACATATTTGTTGACTGGATGCATAGACAGATGGGTGGATGACTTCAACAAACATTTATTGAAAGCCTATTATATGCCAGGCACTAAGGATTCAAGGTTAAAAACCATGGTATTTGCCCTTTGAAAAAGACTTGAATTGACTGGTAATTCACTTCTATAATGATGAAATGCATTACTCTGGAATTGTCAGCCATGAGAGCAATGGTAGTCAGCGCTGATTTTGCCCCCATATCCATGAGGGACCAGACACAACTCAAGCAGGGATAGTGGCCCTACATTGGGGAGCCTTCCCCGCAAGGGCTGGAGGGAGGGAGTGGCAGGCACGTGCCCTGAAAATCACTGTGCTTGTTGGCTCCGTTGGCAATATGAATGTCTATCATCTAGCTGGGACTATGATGGGGTTTTGTTTCTCACTGTTGCGTCTTAAATGAGCTGGTTTCACATTTCCATGTCAGCTTCTCTGCCCTCACCTTTTAAAGTCTATTTTGACCTGAGCTTTTTGTATCATCTATAACTGACTGTCCCATACCCCCATTATGTCCAACAGGGTTTTCAGACAGTGAATCAGAACAAATCTGTCTCCCCTAGACAGAGAGGAGGGAATGGTAGAAGATTCCCTTTCCCCACGTCATCGCTCCTCTTCTTTGTGCTTTGGCATTGTGTAAAACAGGGACTTGGGAATGGAGACTTGAGCTTGAATTCCAGGTGTACATTAGGGAAATAAAAATCAAAACCACGGGGAGATACCATTTCACAGTCTCTAGGATGACTAAAACAAAAAGACAGACGATGAGGAGGGTTCGCAAGGAGGTGGAGAAGCTGGAACCCTCAGACATTGCTTGTGGGAATGTATCATGCTACAGCTGCGTGGAAACTGTCAGACAGTTTCTCAAACAGTTAAACATGGAGTTACCATAGAATCCAGGTATACACCGCTCCTAGGTATATACCCAAGAGAAATAAAAACATTTATTTCCACACAGAAATGTGTACACAAATGTTCATAGCAGTGTTATTCATAACTGCCAAAGAGTAGAAACAACCCAAATGTCAATCAGTTGAGGAAGAATGATTAAAACTTGGTATAGCCATACAATAGAAGATGATCATTCATCCGTAAAAGGGAATGAAGTTCTGATACATGGATTGACCTTGAAAATATTAGGCTAAGTGAAAGAAGCCAGATGCAAAAGGCCACATGTGATTCCATTTCTTTTTTTTTTTTTAAGATGGAGTTTTGCTCTTGTTACCCAGGCTGGAGTGCAATGGCGCGATCTCGGCTCACCGTAACCTCTGCCTCCTGGGTTCAGGCAATTCTCCTGCCTCAGCCTCCTGAGTAGCCAGGATTACAGGCACTTGCCACCATGCCCAGCTAATTTTTTGTATTTTTAGTAGAGACGGGGTTTCACCATGTTGACTAGGATGGTCTCGATCTCTTGACCTCGTGATCCACCCGCCTCGGCCTCCCAAAGTGCTGTGATTACAGGCTTGAGCCACCGCGCCCGGCCCCGTTTCTATGAAATACCCAGAATAGGCTGATTCACAGAGACAGAAAGAAGATTAGTCGTTTTCAGGAGGAAAGCCATCCCCAAAATGCATCTGGTTTAAACATGGTCATCTCATTAAGTTCTTACCATAGCCTGGAAAAAAATGGAATTTTATTTAAAACTCACCAGGGATTGCCTGGTTAAAGGATTCATTATAGAAACTCTTCCTGTGTTAAGAGCATAATTACCTACTAATTTACCTTTCACGCCTCCGGCCTAATTTTCCCATCATGAACTTGCCTCAAGCCAGCTGTTGCTGTATGCTGGCATAGGTGCTGTGCTTAGTATGAGTGGGCATCATGCTGCTGACCGCCTGCTGGTGAAAACGTTTCAAAGCACTCCGCCAAGTTTTAAACAAAGCCCCGAATGAAACCTGCTTCTCTGTCTCACTCTGTGATAAATTGGCTTCCTCTACATCCACATCACCTTCTTTTGAAGGTGTCCCTGAACAAAATGAAATAATAACAGACTCCATCTCAAAGGCCTGAGTAAGGAGGCAGACGATAATCTTTTATCAGAATCCTATTTTTCAAATTGGCATTTAGCCTGCATGAAGCTCTCAGTGGGGCAAGACCTGGAAGGAAGGTGATGGGAAGAACAAGGCCCCTAGGATGGTTTGGAGACAGAAGCTCAGTAGTGGAGTGTGCTCTGCCTGCCAGGCCAACAGGTGCTTCCTGTGGAAGAAGCTGATGCCAGCATGAA